AAAGGTGGGATTGTGCCGTTTTATAATCTTCAAATTTCTAAAATGCAAATGACTTTCTATGTCCAAAAAAGTCATCTGTATATCATTGTTAATGACTACATAGTATTCCATCGAATGGCTCTCACGATTTATTCACCAAGCCCTATTACTGAACATGAGATTTTTTTTCCAATTTTTATTTCTACAAATGATGCTGTTATATACACCCTTGTATCTAAATATTTCCACCCTCATTTATATATTTTCTTGGGAAAGAATTCCTAGAGATGACTGGAATTCCTGAGTTGAAGACAATGCTCTTTTTAAAGACTAGTTACTTTCTGAAATGTTTTTAATTGATCTCCAAATAAAGGACTTGTTAGATTGACAAGAGCCCTCCATTCCTCTCAGTGGTAAGGCGTACTTCTCTTTCCAGGGCATGCCAGATGTGCAGCAGAAGCAGGCCTCCTTCTGGGGTCTATATATTCCATTCTTACTATCAATTCACCCTACATAATGGGTACCCATATAACAGGCCTCTATTATATCACCAAATTGCCCTCAATAGAAGTTGTTCCAATTTACCATCCTGTGAACAGTGTATGGGATTTATCCCCATTTATTTTAGATCCATTATATGAGAAGGTGCTGGTCCATCCTTAATGAAGTTTCATATGTGGGTTTTATGCTGATCCATTTCCCAGATGCCTCTGGAGCCAGGCAGAGATCACAAGTGTGAGGGGACTTCAAAACATTCATGGAAAAAATGGAATTGAAAGATAAAAATAGAATCCAGGCATAGTGGCATGCATCTGTAGTGCAGCTACTCAGGAGGTTGAGGCAGGAAGATTGCTTGAGCTCAGGAGTTTGAAACCAGCCTGGGCAACATAGCAAGACCCTGTCTCTAAAAAAAAAAAAGAATAAAAAAGGTAAACTTTATTTCTCAACATAATCTTCATGAAGGTCAGGACAATTTTGTAGGTGATGATACTAGCCATTTAGTCCATCCCTAAACAATTGGCCGGGCACAGTGGCTCAAGCCTGTAATCCCAGCACTTCAGGAGGCCGAGGCGGGTGGATCACGAGGTCAAGAGATCGAGACCATCCTGGTCAACATGGTGAAACCCCATCTCTACTAAAAATACAAAAAATTAGCTGGGCATGGTGGCACATGCCTGTAATCCCAGCTACTCAGGAGGCTGAGGCAGGAAAATTTCCTGAACCCAGGAGGCAGAGGTTGCGGTGAGCTGAGATTGTGCCATTGCACTCCAGCCTGGATAACAAGAGCAAAACTCTGTTACAAAAAAAAAAAAAATGTAGTGTCCTCAGAATTTACCTGTTAATGCAGTATTTTCTATATTATTCACTAAAGAGAAATGGGCTCCCTTTACAGATTTTTTTAAGATTAGGAAACAAAAAGAAGGCAGAAGTCGCTAAATCAGGACTATAAAGTGAATTCCTAATGACTTCCCATTTAAATTATGATAAAATTGCCCTTGTTTGAGGAGGAATGAGTAACGGCATTGTCATGGTGAAGAAGGACCCGCTGGTGAAAATTTTCCAGCAGTTTTTGGGCTAAAGCTGTGGCTAACTTTCTCAAAACACTCTCCTATAAGCAGATGTTATCATTCTTTAGCTCTCCAAAAAGACAACAAGCAAAATGCCTTGAGCATCCAAAAAACCTATTGCCATGACCTTTGCATTTGGCTGATGGATGTTTGCTTTGACCGGATTACTTCCTTCTCTTGGTAGCCATTGCTTTGGTTGTGCTTTCTCTTCAGGATCATACTGGTAAAGCCATGTTCCATCTACTGCTATAATTCTTCAAACAAAGGCTTCAGGATCTTGATTAAAATTTCCACTGAAAGCTGCGCTCTGGTCTGCAGCTTATCTGGGTGCAATGCTTTTGGCACCTATTGAGTAGAAAGTTAGCCCAACTTTAATTTTTCAGTCAGAATGGTATAAGCTGAGCCAGTTGAGATGTCTTTGGTGTTGGCTGTTAATCATTGTTCCATTTCAATTAAAACACAAACGAGATTACTTTTTTTCCTTAAAAATTGATGTGGATGATCTATTGCTGCAGGCTTCATCTGCAACATTGTCTCATCCCTTCTTAAAACATGTTATTCATTTGTAAACTGCTGATTTCTTTGGGGACATGGTCTTCATAAAATCTTTGTAAAGCATCAGTTATTTTACCATTCTTCCATCCAAGCTTCACTATAAATTTGACATTTGCTTTTACTTCAATTTTAGCAAAATTCATGTTGCTCTGAGAGGGGCTCAAACTGAGGTCTTATCTGTCTTAGTGCCTCAATCTAGATCCTGTTCAGACAAGTTAGCATGAGTTTATTTTTGTGCAATAAATTTTCAAAATCCATGCATTTTTTTCATAATATGCACTTTTCATTAACATTCTGATAAACTCTACATGTGAGTCAGACTAGATATAAGTCACAGAAGAGTGGGGACCAGTTGAGAACTGGAATGTCTATGATCCACTAAAGGCCTTCATATTCATATGAACGTTTTTAAACACATTGTTTCATATGAACGTTTTTAAACACATTGCTGGCCCAATAAAATATTTTTGTGGCTCAGATTATATGTGGGCTATGAATTTATAATCCATTACTTATTCTTGAGAAACAATTGATAATTTTTTAAAAGTAGAGTTGATGCCTCTGATCATGAAACTAAAGCATTTCCTAAGCAAAGCCAATTGCTTCATACAAGTGACCTCGTGTAGTAAAGCAGTCAGTCCTTGCTACATAAAACATCAGACAAAGTTTGGGAGGCTGAGGTGGGTGGATCACGAGGTGAAGAGATCGAGACCATCCTGGTCAACATGGTGAAACCCCGTCTCTACTAAAAATACAAAAAATCAGCTGGGCATGGTGGTGTGCACCTGTAATCCCAGCTACTCAGGAGGCTGAGGCAGGAGAATTGCCTGAACCCAGGAGGCGGAGGTTGCGGTAAGCCGAGATCATGCCATTGCACTCCAGCCTGGGTAACAAGAGCGAAACTCCGTCTCAAAAAAAAAAAAAAAAAAATCATACAAAATGTCCTGTCCATCAGGAACTCCAAGATGGACAAAGAACACAAAAATGACCAGACTTTCTCTTCTTGGGATGCAAAACTAGGTGTCATTAAAACTACAACTGAATGAACAAATGATGCCACTTCTTGCTGCAGTGTTCACTTTCTCCTTCCCTGCTGTGGGAGCAGAGCTCTCTCCTTTTGAGAACCTGGGAGTAATGGGAGATGCATTTATAAACACACCCACACTTCCCGTGAATCGCAGCAGCTTCAACTCCACATCCCTGGAGGGCTGACTATAGGAATCCATTAAGTTAATGAGAGGTTGGGTGCAGCTGTATCTGTGCAACATGTGACAACCGTCACCCCATAATTGAATCAGGGATCTTTTGCAAAAACTATGAGGGAAAGTTATGGCTTCTATTTCTTAACTACCAGAGTGCTGGGCACATAAGGAGAAGACACTTAATAACTACCTCATGTTTGGTGCATGACGTCATTCATACAAATGCTGTATTAATGTAACCCTCCTTCTCTTCCCCCAGGAAAGATTTTCTGTTTTATATACGTTCCTTTGGAGAGTAGAACGGTTAAGATAAAGACTCTTGGTCTGATTTTATGCTATATAAGGATAACTGGGCAAAGTGGAGACATTTAATGCTTTTTTTTTTTTTTTTTTTTTGAGACGGAGTTTCGTTTGTTACCCAGGCTGGAGTGCAATGGCGCGATCTCGGCTCACCGCAACCTCCGCCTCCTGGGTTCAGGCAATTCTCCTGCCTCAGCCTCCTGAGTAGCTGGGATTACAGGCACGCGCCACCGTGCCCAGCTAATTTTTTGTATTTTTCGTAGAGACGGGGTTTCATCATGTTGACCAGGATGGTCTCGATCTCTTGACCTCATGATCCACCCACCTCGGCCTCCCAAAGTGCTGGGATTACAGGCGTGAGCCACCGCGCCCGGCCGACATTTTATGCTTTTTAGCTTTTAAATGTAAATGGCTAGAAATGCACACCTACTGTGGTTGTGCCCAAATCGGGGATAGTGCAAAGTGCCAATCTATTATTAACTTTCATCAGTCATGCAGGTGTCAGTCTGTTACTGATTTTCATTGCTGATTATTGGAAGAACTGCTCAAATTTAATTTCTTCATCAGGGCTAGGAGTATTAATGAAAGGACCATCTGCAAAGATTACCTGGATCTTCTAACCAATTTGATGATCCGGGTGTATCTATCTCTCCTTGATTTGTTTGCCTTGAATACTGATTTCCACAGACAGATGTCCACTTTTCATCTCAGTTCCAACTCTATGGTGATTGAAACTGGCTTCCAGGAGTTCAGGTTAGTCGATAAGCAAAAGGCAAGATTCCTCCCCTCCAGTCGGTTGTAACGTCTCCCAATCCTATTCTCATTCTCTCACTTTCTCCTTTGGCCCTTCCCCACCCGACGATTTTCCTGGCACTGACTCAGACCAAGTCTGCTGTCTTTCCAGGGCCCCTTGTCTAGCGCAGTGCCACCTGGTGGTCCCCCTCTGCTATTACAGCAGGACAATAGCAGGGAAACGAGTACCCAATCTGTGAAAAGGGAGACAGCCAAGACAACCAAACATAAGAAAGCAAAAAACCGATATAGAGAAACAGAGAAAGAGAAAGAAAAAAAAATCTTCCTTCTGTGGAACTTCCCACAGATTCCAAAGTTGCATGAAAACAGTAAGAATTGATTCTGTGGAGACTATTTACAAACATCAAAACTATTCTACTCACATCTTATCTCAAAATACCTTTTGTTTCCGTCAGGGGAGGGGGAGGACTTTTGAGTGGCTAACCACTCCCTAAAGAAGCTCTTTCTTTGCTGGCTTATGAAAGCAAAACTATAAAACCTTTCTCTATTCTCTAGCAAATTATGATGAATCATCAATATTATTGACACTTAAGAGTTTAGCCTTTCAAACAGCCACAGCAAACCTCAGAACAACAATTCCTACCTCATACAAAGCATCTGACATTCGCAAAGCCTAGCTGGGTACCGCCATCCTGGGTCCTGGCTGGTATCTTGCCATGTAAAGAAAAAAAGAACAAAGTGGCAATTATCTTTTTTTGGAAATGACCCCAAAAAATGTTTATTGGACGGGATTTTTAAATTTTTCTGTTTTTAAATGGGTGTTGCTTAGTGATTTCTGCCCTACCATTATCTGTAGTCAAATCCATTGTAGGGACTGAGAAAAAGGAGTTCTTTTCCTGCTAGCTTCATCGTCCCCATTGATTTCCTCACCCAGTGCTTGCCCCTAATGGAGCTTGAAATGAATGCAGCTTGGCTCTTGTTTTCTTTCTTTGTTGGCACACCTCTGCCAGAGGCCAGCTGTGGTCGGAGCTGCGGGTACTCGTCCCGCAGGGAGGAGTCTGTTCTTCCCAGAGGCTGGAAACCGGAGGGAAAGGAGGGGAGGACAGGATGAGTTTCCTTTGCTAGGCCTTGAGCCACAAGTGAGAGTATTATCTTTTGAAATGAGCTGCACTACAGAAAATAAGAACTTTACAAAATACAGGAAAGCCAGGAAGTTAGCCATCCAGGTGGAAAAGTAGAATGACAGCGTTAGAAAACATGGAGGTCCTCATCTCAGGTGAGGCCCTTGTACCTTAAAAACTGCAATATAAGTGCAGTATTCTCAAACGGATCCTCGCTGGCCCAAATGGGGATGACTCACACAGACAAAAAGAAAACGGAAAGGGAAAGACATCCGTTAAGAAAGTCCTCCAGGGCGTCTGCCCGTCACCGATTCTGTATTCCTGTGGTCTCCCCACACAGCCAAGAGCTGAATCCGTGGACTTGAGCCTGTGGGTCCCTCTGGTAAAACAGAGAGTTTGGCTGAAGATATTATGGGGACTTAGAGGGGCATAATAACCACCTCTAGAGCCTTTCCCCCTTTAAGACCCCCAGTGCTTCCCCTTGGGAAGAAAACTAGAAGCTCGAGCTGGCCTTCTCTCCGGCCCATGCTCTGCTATATTGGGAAAGTCACATGCATTTCTCTGACTCAGTGTGTGAGTAACTTAGATGCTCACAGGGGTTGCTGTGATGAGCCATCTACCTCCCTGTGATGTCGGACAGTGTCAGGCCATGGCTTTTCACAGGGTCACTTAGGGAAATTTTCTGAGCTGCTTTCAGACCGAAATGTCAATGCAGTGCCCTCTTGTTATCTCGATGAATTTCCAGAAACCTCCAAAATGGACTGTATTTTCTCCATCGAATCAAGGCTCTAACAGAGGATTCTGTTACTGCCCAAGGATTTGGAAGTGAATAAATCATAGCTACCACCATATTATAACGTGTTGACATAGAGGCAGATACACGGCTACGGATTCCTATACAGAATAGCCAAAATTATCTCCCTCTTGGTAAACATTTACTCTAACCCTCAGTTATATCTGGGATATCAATGTACCCTAAAGAATATTTGTAACACAAAAGCGTGCAACACTACTAGGTCATAAAGGTAGTCTTTCCAAACAAATGTTCACACTAATAAATGTTAAGTAGTTATAATGCCCTCTTCGAGTTTGGAAGAGTTTGAGACCTTTTGGATTTTACAAATCTCTAAGAAAACGTAAACTACTGTCATCTTTTTTGTCTCAATAAATTCTCTCCTAGCAAAGAAAAAAAAGTTATTCCAAAATATGTAACAGCCTGCAGGCTGCCGCATTCAAGGTGAGAGTCGTTCTTCTTAGAGAGAGCAGCGCAGGGCGGGGTGACTGGAAGACCTCACCAAGGACTTTATCTGTGCAGAGTTGGAAAGGAAAGGTGTCTTTATTATGGTCCTCACACTTGTCTACCCCTCCCCCCATGTTAATGTATCCTCTGTGTTGCTGTCTGCATGAAGTCACCAGCAGTGGTGTCTGAGCCATGGGGAGGTAGCCGAGGACACGGCCCCCCTCTGCCTGTGTTTGCTGGTGAGACCAGGGCACCCTGTGGATGTGAAGCCACCTTGTCTTTTCTTTGAATTGCTCGCTCCCTCCAAACGCTGGGGCTTGGCTGCGATTCAGAGTCATGAACAGAGACGCCCAGGTTAGGTGGTGATGAGTCCACCACCAGGCGAAGAGGATGTAAGAAAGGGACCCTGAAGCCTCTCCGAGGCTTTTGGCACCAGCAGGGGAATGCTTGGCAGGCTGTTTTCCTCCACTGACAATTGCAAAATGAGTATTAGGTAGACGCTTACAAAACATCAAAGAAAGGTTGAAAACTGTCTGCAAAACCAATTTTACTAAATATGTGTGTTTGTATTGGTTTATTGAGAAAGAATATTAAGCTGTGGCAAAAAAAAAAAAAAACGTGGTACAGAGAAAATAGGCATAACAAATATTAATAACATTTTCCTGATTACAGAGTAATTTATGATCATTGTAGAAAATTTATAAAGCAGAGAAGAGTATGAAGAAAAATCAAGATCAACGCAAATTTTACTACCTAGACAACTGCTGTTTGACAAAAAATATATATATAATAAATAAATGTTTTATAAATAAATATATTACATTTTTATCCTTTCTATTTTTGCATTATCGTAAATAGTAAAGGTCTGTATGACATGAGCACTTTATGCTGACATTTTACTAAGTGCTTTAGACACATCTTAGTTGATTCTTACTAAAACCTGTGAATTAAGTATTATTATTGCTTCCATTTAACATCAAGGAACTAAAACACACCAAGCTCACACAAATAGCAAAATATAAAGATAAGTTCTGAGCCCTGATAGGTGTGATCTCAAAATCAACTCTAAACCAGAACCACCCAAGTGTGGTCCAGGGACCCGTGCTGATCTGTGATATTACTGATCAATGCTGAGATAAGTATAGGAATTGAGAACAAGCATTTAGATGCTTTTGTGGCAGCTTCACGTTGTGACTCACATAATCCCTGACTCCTACTGATGAAGGGTCTGGGGTGCACAACTTGCCTAACGAGGGGCACCTAGTGTGAACTGAAAACCAGTCAGGCAGTAGGACACTCGCTCTGAAACCAACTGGAGATTTCAGGGGAAACAATTTTGGTCCTTTGCCACAAATAGTTTCTAAAGCATTGCTCTAAAGCATATATTGCCTCCCCAGAGCAAAAACAAATCAGTGTAGCCGAGTGAGATGCTAAGAAATAGGAAGATGCAGCGTGGTGACACTCAGCTTCAGAAACAGCTTTGTTGCCCACAGACTCGGTCGTTAATGGTGAGTGACTTTCGTCAAGTCCTTGCTCCATCCAAGCATAAGACAAGGCTGGTGAGGACTTGCCTACAGAGCTGGAGATGGAAGACGAAAATCCTATGACGGCCTTTTCCATTCTTACTGTGGCAGACGCTACTGATTGTCCCCATCTCCCACCCCACATTTTTCCCTCCCTTCTTCCAAGTCAGAGTCTCAGCTGAGCACACAGAAGCCCAGAATAAGGATTTGTTCCTTGCATCCCTTGCAGCTAGGTGGGGGCACAGAAGAGGGTCCAGACAGAGGGATGTATGGGAGCATCTCCTGGAGGTGCCAGGAACTTTCCTCTTTCTTCCTTATTATCTCTGCTTCCATTCTATTGCTTGGAACATGGATTTGATGGACCAAGAGGAATGAGTCTCACCATGGAAATGGTGGAAAGGAAGCTCGAAGAGTCAGAATCCCTGGCGACATCACAGAATAACCACAGCATAAACCGTGCTGGCTGCCTGCTGGATGATTGGCACATGAAGAAGAAATAAACTTCTCTTTCAAATAAGTCACTGGTATTTGGGGTTTATTGTCCCTTGTAGCCAAATCCAATCCAAACTAATATACCCATGAGGCCAAACTGGTCTCTTGATAACCACCCCTTTCCAGTTTTTCCCAGTCTGCTCTGCCAAATCTGATCTGAGAACTGGGAAGAGAGGATGTACAACCACACAGACTGCATTTGAGGCAGGGGGCAATGGAAGAGGATTCCAAACCGGATATTTTACAAGAAACTGACTTGGTACCAAGAGGCTCCTTTCTCTGTCCAGTGTTTGGTGCCAACATCCCAGCAGCTCAACATCCTGGTGAATGCTGCCATGAGTTTGGGGACTAACCCATTTGGAGTGTACTTTAGAGACAATATTTCACATGGCATGCTCACAAAGGTATTGTAACTGGTGACCTTTTGTTGCCACTGGTCCCTGGTTTTGTGCTGGAGGTGGCTCACGCTGGCTGTTCAATACAGTCATTATTAAAAATTGAAATATGTCAACTTGAAGTTCAATAAATTATATCAAAAAAAGACAATAAATACTCAGAACTCATCACTCCCTAATTTTATTTTCCACCCTTTACTATGATGGTCTTGAAGTTATCTTGTTTTTTATATGAATATGGTGGGAATACTGTGTCATGGCAGGCAGTTCACACCTTTTCCTAAATCTGCCTTCAGCGATGTAATGATGATGGTTTGAAATTGACCATGATGGGAACAGGTATGGACTGGGGTTCTTTCCTCCTAGATAATGTGGGGCCAGAGAGGAATAAAAGTCCCTGCCCCTTTGGAGTTTCCAATCCCATTAAAGTATCACAAACATGAAATAAAATAGTAAATATCAAAGAGAACTGGCATTGAGCTCAGCTAGGATTCAGGAGAGCTACAATCTGTTCTCAGCTCTGAAACAAGCGGTGGGACAGTTGGCAAGTCTCTTGGTCCCTCAGTCACAGGGTTTTTCATCTGGAAAATCCCACTGGACTCCAAGCTCCACCAGGGGAGGAGCTGCGCTTACCTCATTTGCCGCCACATTCAAGCCCTCCAGCATAATTCCAGACATGTAAGAGGCAATGAAGCAATGCTTGTCAAGTGAATGAACGAGTGGGAAAGCACCATGTCTGCCAACCCTCCCAGCTCTGAGAATGACAAGGTCCATGATTCAAACTAAGGTTCAGAGAAGCAGCACGAGACTGAGAGCCAGGGATGGTTAACATGATCCAGCTTCCTCAGATACCTACAAGGAAGGTGCCATGCTGAACTCTGGGCAAAGGTGGGCGAGCCAGGAATTCTGACTCAGAGATCAAACTGATCATTCCTTGAAGCCCTGGTGAGACTCATGAGTGGCCATTCCTATTGTTCTTCTCTGCTGTCTGGCACTCGACTTCATGCTTTGGTTCAATACTGCCTTGAGTCTCAACTGAAGAGTTGGCTAAAAATCCTAGCCAAAAAAAAGAAAAAAAGCATTGAACCATCCCCCCACCTGCTGCCACTTCCAGCTCACTGTGGAGCCCATTCTCACACCCCTCCTAAGATCTCTTACTGATAATCTCGCAAATATGTACAGCAATGCCTCAGTACATTTCTTTTCTCTCCTTGGCTAAACCATAATTTTGTTATTTAAAAAAAGTTACAAATGGAATGCAAATGTGTCCTTGACTTTTTCATATTCTTACTACTCTGAGTCTGATTTTGAAGGGGAAAACATTGCTTTTGTGAGAGTACTCAACTTAGTGTAAATTTCTCAAGACAAACCAAGTTCTCTCATCTATTAGCAGTGCAGAAACACAATAGCCAATGAATCTATCCCGACCATGATATTCTACCTGTTAACATCACCCTCCCATCCTAGCCATCCCCAACACACGCACACAGTTCCTCCTTCAGAGATGATGAAAAAGCAAAGCGTTACCACTTTGTGGCTGTTTCTCATTCTTAATCGCTCCTGGAGCAAGTTCAAAGGTGTCCGTTCAGAATTTTGGATGAGATTGTTATTTATTCTTAATTTTTTTTAAAAAAAGTCTGAATTGATTGAAAGAACTAGTTTTTTCCATGTGAAAATATGAAAACAGAGATTTACGGTCTCACAAATGATGAAGGCGCAGTGAGTGAAGATAGATTTGTTCCCAGAATCCTGACATGCCAGAACTAAGGGCTCACAGAATTTACAAAGATATCTGTTTAGAAATCTATTTAGAATTGCCCCAAGTGAAGAAGAGGCCCACGTGTTACTGGGGCCAGGGTGGGAATTCAGCTTCTTTGAGACTCAGTTTCCTCAAATGTGAAAGGGAGATAATGTTATCTATGTGAAAGGGTTGCCAGGATTAAACAAGAGAACTAGTCCGGGTCCATGCCTTGCATCTGTGAGCTCACAAATGTCAGCTGCATTCCCCCTTGCTCTCTCCCCTGTCTGACTTGCCCCCATTTCCAGCCAGCCACTTGGACAAATTATTATCAATACAGACCTTACTATTCTCAAGAAGTCGCTCAGGTGAAAACTCTGCATCGCTGGGGTGAAGGAGGGAGTTGTGCCCTATGTCTAAATGGTAGATAAAGTTTTAGAGTTTCCACAAATTCAGGCTTTGGGTGGTTCCTCTTTCTTGAGGTTGCAGCTAGAAGGACAAACATGCCCTCAGCCAGTGTCAGACACAAAGAAGGGATGTCTGTGTGTGACCCTGTTGGGCTCCTTTGAGATTAGCCCAAAAAAGCCTCTTAGCCCTCGTCTCTCATTACTATAAACTGCCCAGGGCCTTACCAGCTGCCTGAATAGCTCAAATACTCGATTAATTTGAGTTAAAATGTTAATGGATGATAATGGCTTTTAATTTGTGAGCGCTCCTGCATTTTAACCCAAACATTCAATGACTTAGTCTACAGAAGTGATGACCGTGGGACCCTCTGGCTTCTTGGAAAATCCAAGGCAGAATAAGATACTTGCTTAAACAGAAAGGCAAGCAGGAGGGGAGGGGTCAGGGTGGCAGTTCACAACAGCAGACTGACATTCGCCACCAATCTCATCATTCTTCCTTCTTCCAGATTCCAGAAACAAACTCACTTTTCAGAGGCAGCAACGGGTGGTGGAGGTACACAGATCACTTGTTAAAGTAGCTGGCCTGAGTAGACCCAAGCCTGAGTGATCATAGACAGCAAGTATGCTACGATCAATGATCACAAGGGTCCCCCATCACCCTCCACGAAAAATCCCACTCCAATGACTCTCATTGCAAGGACAGCATCTATGTGATGAAGCCAGCTCTGCTTCCCCACAGATACACTTGAGAGACATTGCTTTGTGGGGCTGATTCCAGGGATTCCTCTAAATGGAACGGAACCATTCTACAAAAGTTTCCACGTTTTCCTCTTCACTCATATGACTCTTCTCTGGTGTGTGCAAAGGGCGAAGACTGAGCCTGGGATGAGAACATGGGTCATCTAACAGGAAATGGAAATAGATTCTGCTGTAATCCTGGGTCACCGAACAGGAAATGGAAATAGACTCTGCTGTCATCGTGCTTGCAGCAAAGATGTTTACCTGACGTGGTGAATTTAGGAACACGGCAACACAGCCATGATGTTCTGCATGGTAAGAGTGCAGCAGGTAGAAAAGGAGAGGAGCCGAGAACAGAGGAGAGAGAGGCCAGCCAGCTTCTTCTTGGACTTCTGCATGATCTTATTAATCAATTATAAGTGCGCCAGGAGACCTTAGCTCTGCTGTAGCTCAAATCCCCTATGGTAATTAGACACTTGAATGTCTGGGTTTTTTGAACCCTCAGCCACTAGAGGGCAGGAAACCCGTGATGTCTCTCCACCTGGTGTTTCCAGCCCCCAGCACAGAGCGGTACAGGCTAGGTTAAATATTCCTGCACGTTGGGGTGAATGGAGGAGCGATTCAAATATTGAGCAGCATACCGGGCACACCCTGTTTTTTCCCCTCCCTATTCGGATATCTCAACCATTCCTTTCAGAAAAACAAGGCAAAATGAGGCAGAATCACCACCCTTCAAGCAAGACCTGGCATTTTGAAAACCTGAAGTCAGGATGGTTAGAGCACGTGCCAGCCACGCTGATGGGAAACCCCTCTTTCGACGTCTTGTCTCTGCCTCTGACAGGGAGAGTGACGTCCAACAGGGATCTCGACAACAGAAAGTCTCACCCCAAGAAAAATATGTGGTATTTCCGAGTGCTTACTCTAAAAGAGGCAGAGGTGCACTGACTTTGCCAAGGAAAGGGGAAGACGTGAAGCGCTGAGGTGAGAATTACTACATCCTCCTTCTGGGGAAAAGACGCCTGCTCCTGGCCCTCCTCCAAGGAGGTCATGCGGAGTTCTCCCTGCCCCGTGCTGCTTCCCTAATCTCTCCAGGCAGGGTGATGGGAGCTCCTCCTGCATGGAGAGCCTGTCCTGGTTCCCAGAGTCAACAAGTGCAGCAGCCCTCCGCTTGGAACCCTCCCTCCTGCCTCTCCTGACACACACAGAGGCAGAAGGGCTCTGGGCACAAGCAGTGCTCGCTCTGTCTCTCTGTCGCCCAGGCTACAGCGAAGTGGCACGATCTTGGCTCACTGCAACCTCTGCCTCCCGGATTCAAGCGATCCTCCTATCTCAGCCTCCTGAGTTTGGGACTACTGGCTTGCACTACCACGCCCGGCTAATTTTTGTATTTTTAGTAGAGACGGGGTTTCACCATGTTGGACAGGCTGGTCTCAAACTCCTGACCTTGTGATCCACCCGCCTCGGCCTCCCAAACTGCTGGGATTACATGCGTGAGCTACCACGCCTGGCCAAGCGGTGCTTTGGTGGAAATTCGAAGGCCCGATTACATCCCCGGGGGCACCAAAAGGGACCTGGCTGCTGCCAGCCCCTCGACAAACTCCTCTGGTCCAGGAGACACAGCCAACCCACCCCTCCCATTCATTGGGGTGTGGTTTCCAGCACTTAGGACATTCTATACAGCTTTTCCAACAGGACCCCTCCCCACACTCAAACCCTAAGGACCCTTTCATAAAGCAGATGATAATTTCTGGAAAGTGACATTTCTTAATTTCAGGAATTGTTCCAATTAGTGCAACAACAACAACAACAACAAAGGCAATTCCAGTAAAACTTAATGGGCCCTTCCCACCCCTGGCTAATGGTTGGTGCGAAATGTTGACTCAAATTTGACTCAATTTGTCTAAGGCTGTGGAAGTGTAAAATGTTCAGGAAGTGGGGGAGGCATTACCCCTTGTGGGAGCCATATTTTTCTAGGAGGCATTTTGATCAAGATAGGACTCTGGGGGTTATTGATTTGGGGGTTATTGAGAGTGCAAGAACTGGGGAGATGAAGGCCACGTGGCCCAAGTTCCGCGAGGGCGGAGGCAAGGAGGGGCGCTGAGTCTCCCAATGGGGTTCTAGTCCGGGATTCTACCCAGGACGCCAGGACCTGGGGCAGCCTGGAGGACTCTGGACCCAGTGTCTGTAAGTGGAGACCCAGAGGAGCACCTGGTGGGAGCGCTTTCTCGAAGGCTGAGAGCCTCGCCCACAAACTGTAGTCGGCATCTGCACCGAAGTGGCCTGTCTCGATATTCCTTCTCTCCTCCCCTTCCCACACCTCCCCGCCTAATTCATCAACTGCTGAAACAGCTGCCTGGCTGAAGCTGTCTTCTCGCCGCGCGCTGGGGGTTGTCCCCAGGTGTTGGTCTTTGTGTCAAGAAAACTTTGCGAGGAGGACGGGGCGCTGGACAAAGAGCTGGCGAGGGAGGGCGTTTGCCAGCGGATGGGGTGCGTGGGCGGTGCGCGCACTTCCCGGGGCTCAGCTCCAGACCTGGTGGCACGCAGTGGCCGCAGCCCGGCCCCTCTAGGCCAGGAGTGGCAGCTCCAGGGAGCTCAGTAAAGCCAGGCGGGAGAAGCCCAGGCCAGGGCCTGGACGTTAGAGTTGGTGGGAGGAGGCGAGCAAAGCTGTCAAACTGCGCGCGGAGCCGGGCGCGGGGCGGGGGAGGGGAGGGGACGGGAGGGAGGGGCGGGCGGGAGCCGGGAGGGAGCAAGCGGGCTCGCCGCGCCTGAGCAACCCCCGCCTGTCGCTGCCGCTGCCGCTGCCGCTGCCGCCGCCCGCTGGCCCGGACTCGCCCGGAGCGCAGGGTGTCTGTCTGCCCAGCTGCGTGCGGTGCGCCGAGGCTCCAGTGTCCACCGCTGCGCCCTCCAGCCCCTGCTGCTCGCGCCGGCCCGCGTGTGTCCCGGCGGGCGCGAACCCACCATGCAGCTGCAGTTCCGGAGCTGGATGCTGGCCGTGCTCACGCTGCTCGTGGTCTTCCTCATCTTCTCAGACATCTCGGAGATCGAAGAAGAAATCGGGTAAATAGCTGCGCCCGGGCCGCTGCCCAGAGCCCCGGCGGGATCTCGCCCTCGTTCCGCACTCTCCACCGCCGGGACCCCTTTGTGTGCGCCGCGCCCCCCTGTAGCGCCGCTGGAGAGGCGGGGACTGTCTACCAGAAGGTGGCGGGGACAGGGGCCCGGGACGGTTTGGGGCTCAGAGCTTGGGGGCGCGGCTGCCGCGGGGTGTCCCCGGGCGGGGTTCGCCGGAAGCCCCCAGCTGGCCTGCGTTGGAAGCGTACCCGCCCACCCTCCCCGCCCCCCCCCCCCCCGCCCCCGCCTGGCACGTCCGAGCGCAGTGTCGCCGGGGTCGAGGGAGGGCGCCGGGGAGTGTCTCGGGCGGGCGGAGGGGCCGAGAGTGGAGGGAGGCAGGAGTTTCTTTGTCTCCGGCACTGCCGCTTTCTCGCCTTGGCAAAGTGGGCAGGGGGCGCGCGGGCATATCTGAGCTGGGGGAGGGGTTCCCCGGGCCGGGGTGGAGGACTCGGGCTCTGCCCGGGCACCGGGGAAGCGGAATGTCCCCTGCACAGACAGGCAGGCACGCGTGAGCCCGGCGCAGGGGCTGGCATCGCTAGAGAAGGGCTCGTATCGCCGGGCTGAGACCCTCGCGCTCGCCTGGCTTTGGGAGTCCAACGGAGCCACAGTAACCTCAGAGACCCTAGGTTCCCGTGCGCTCGCCGCGCGGAGACACAGACATTTCGGAAAAGTCCGTACCGCCGCCCTGTGGGCTTCTGGGCCCTCAGGCGGGTGATCTGGCCCTTTTCCCTCCCTACCTCGCCAGAGGTGGGGCGGGACCCCAGCCCTGACCGTCCCAGCTACAGACCTCCCGGAGCTCGCGTTTGAGGCGCGTGACGCACCCGCGGTGGGTCCGGGAGGCTGCGCCCCACCCCGCAGTCTTCGGCTCGCCGGGCCCGGCCCCTCTCTGGAACCTCCAAAGGGTGGTGGACTGCAGGTAGGGAGGAAGCCGGGGGTCTGAGGCCGGAGGAGAGCTTCCTGGCCGTGGGCAGTGGGGAAGGTGAGGTCTCGGAGAGGGCAGAAGGTCTCTTCCTCAGTGGGATTTGTGCCCGGCCTGGCACTCTTCTCCAGTCCCGCACCGCGTGCGCCCCGCCTTTGTCCCATGTGTGATTTCATTTGTTTTCTGTGCTTGCTGAGGGTCCGCCACGCTGTCAGTCCCTCAAATGGTAGATGCCAGTCCAGGACCTAGGATGCCGAGGTCCCCAAGGACCAAAACTTGGGACAAGTGCCGCTTTCTGCTCTTTCTCCCCGCCTCTGCCCATCTCCCCTAATTTCTTCTGTGAACTCCACTGGGCTTCCGGAACCCCTCTCCCCGCCTCCTCTCATTCTCAGTTTCGCCAAGAGCTCTGAAAACTTTCACAAATGCTGTGCAGTTAATACACAATGTGCCGCCATCTCCCACGAAGAGAGAAACATGCCACTTTTTATAGTGTCCGCCTCAGAAACGTGGATTGGAAAGGAAATCGGGCAAGGCACGTCTTAGGGCGATGGAAGATGCCGTGAGAAGGGCCTTCCTCTGGGCGCTTCGGCTTCTTCCGGATGTGGGCTCTGCCTGGCCGGGATCACTTGCTGACCTTTGCTGCTGTGAGAGGGAAGACCGGCGCTGCCCATTGTTCTGCTGTAAAAACATAAGTGCTGTGCTCATCCAGGCACCCTAGGTCATCCATTTACTTAATTCTTACCAAATACCTTCCACATGCTGGGGACTTTTAATTTTTAAAATGCAATCCGGAGATCATTTTGCACATAATATTGCACTTTCTTGCCAAATGCACTGAAGCCTGTGCTCCCTGCTATCAGGCTGTTCCCATATATGTACACGCCCCTGGGACATGTTTGTTTCACTTGGGGGCTCCCTACTTCTTTTTATCCTGTCTCTGCTGGGTTGATTCTGGGGAGGGGGGAGTCAAACAAGTCCAATATGTCACCTCTTGTGCCATCTTCCTTCCCTCTCTTGCCTCTTGCCACAGGCTGACCACTGGCTTGACCAGTCCTGACCCAGGCCTGAGACACCCCCTCTCCCTGGCTGATGCAGCTGCCTTAGACCAACACTGCATGTGCCATTGCTGGGACGGATACTCCAGACCCACCCACAGTCAGCCCCACACGTTTAATCCTGAGGAATGATACATATTTTGCACTTCACATGGCTAGAGGAGGAAAGACACGGGGCAGAGCATGGGAATCCCAGCAGCACCTTCTGTCTGCTTACAAGTGAAGGCTTTTCTCTTTTCTTTTCTTTTTTTGAGACGGAATCTCACTCTGTTGCCCATGCTGGAGTGCAGTGGCATATTCTCAGCTCACTGCAACCTCCACCTTGTGGGTTCAAGCAATTCTTCTATCTCTGCCCCCTGAGAAGCTGGGATTATAAGCACATGCCACAGCACCAGGTTAATTTTTGTATTTTTATAGAGATGGAGTTTCACCATGTTGGCCAGGCTGGTCTGGAACTCCTGACCTCAGGTGATCTGCCCTCCTTGGTCTCCCAAAGTGTTGGGATTACAGGCGTGAGCCACCATGACTGGCACAAGTGAGATTTTTAACACACAGCCACTAAATTCATTGTTGGAATTACCCCAACTTTGAGCAGCTGGGCTCAGCGCCCAATACGAGCCCTGGCTCAGTGCCTGATAAGATGCCCGGTGAGGGGCATCAAGAGGGCTCTGCCTTCCTCACCATATGCCTTCCTGGAGACCTGGAGTCATACTCAAGCACACGAGGCTGCTGCACCAGCCCTGCCCCTCCATCCCCAACTTGCTCTGGACCTGTACCAGGGAGGATTACAGATGATCTCCCAGTGTCGGCCCCTGGGAGAAAGCGGTGGCTCTATAAAAGGATGGCTGTTTCTGGGAAGTAATGAACAGTGGGACCTTGTGATCTGTTAGGAAGGAAGGAAAGATGAAAGGAACCTCTTTAGGGGGTAACTTTTTTAAGATTAAGGAATGAAAAAAAGTGAAAGAAGAAAGTGAATTACATGGGCATTATCTGGAGGAATAAAACTGAGATTTGGCTTTCTGAAGCTCTTGATTCTGTTTCTTATAAAATGAGGCTTTTAATGTGGTGGTCTCAGAGGTCCTGTCCTGCCTGAAAAATTATACACCACAGAATGATGGGCAGGGGTTTCTTTGAGGAGAGTTTTCAGAGACACGCATCTCTTTTCCTTAGTGATTATTTTCAAAAGTTTCATTTCTGACTCGCTCTCATTCAGCTGGAGCTGAATAAGAAAACAAACTATAGAAAGATAAGTTCTCTGTGAAGCAGCTAGAGAATCCTGCCTACTTGAATTCAAATTCCAAGTCAGAATTTGGGCGGAGCTTTGGTAAAACAGCTCCTTATCAACTCATGCACCATCCCAAGTTTTAGGTCCAATTCGACCAAGGTGCAACCTAAAATCTTCTAATTGATTGTTCCTTGGGCTTTAATCTGAGTGCAATTTCCACTAGGGGATCGTGAGGCACAGCTGTCTTGCCCACCATGGAGTCCACGGAACTTGGCACAGAGAAGGTATCCAATGAATGAATATTGGATGAATATCTTTCCTGTGTCTGGCACAGTGATGGGCACACACACAGCATCCTTGGGCAAGGTTGAAACTCACCAAACTGGCTGGGAACAACGGCTCATTCCTGTAATCAGTCAGGAATTCGAGACCAGACTGGCCAACATGGTGAAACCACATCTCTACTAAAAATACAAAAATAAGCCAGGCATGGTGGCTGGTGCCTGTAATCCCAGCTACTCTGGAGGCTGAGGCAGGAGAACCGCTTGAACCCTGGGAGGAAGAGGTTGCAGTAAGCCGAGATTGCACCACTGCACTCCAGCCTAGGCCATAGAGCGAGACTCCATCTCAAAAAAAAAAAAAGGAAAAAAGAAAGTCACAGAACCTTGGGACAGGAAGACAGCATAAGGCTTCCCCTATAGAAACCTTTCCTTTTTATCAATCAGGGTAAATTTGATGCTGAGAAGTAACATCACTAATCTGAGATCACAGCCTGGCTGGTTAAGGGCAGGGCAGGCTTACACAAGTCCCTCTTTTGTCACCCAATGCCCTAATCCTCATATTAGCTCCTCTAACCATAAAGGAATTACAGAAATCTTGTTAAAGAGAAGGCGAATAACCAGTAACGATAACAATAGCAATTATGACGACGGTGAAGGTGATGATGGTGGTTAGCATTTGCTGAGTGCTCGCTAAGGGCCAAGAGCTATTCCAAGTGCTTTCTAGGCATTAACACATTCCAGCCTAGTGGCAATCCAGTGGTCACCTACCAATGGCACTGTTCATAGAGCTCTGTGTGCCAGGTGCCATGCTAACTGCTTTGAAGCACGTTTGCTGGATCCTCACCAGAACCCTCTAAAGTAGGTACCATTGCTACCCCCGGTTTCTTGATGAAGAAGTATACCCTACTGATAAACATGTCATAAAGCAGCTCTTTGGAAGGCTGAAGCCCATGCATGCTCTCCACCATCATGCTAGACTGCCTTGTCCTCCAAGGTATTTTTTACCCTGAGCTAATATTAGGGAATACATCTGAAAACTAACTCACCCCCTGTGGTTCTTCTAAAGGCCCAGAGTTTTCCTCAGAGCCTGGTCTGGCCTTAGTAGTTTCTCTATCAGTCACTTACAAAGAGAGAAGATGAATGAGGAGGACCAGAGGAGGAGTCTGGGCACATCTCCCTAGAATGTCCCCCTCGTCCAGATAGGTTCAGTGCCTTGCTGGAGGACAGAATGGCATTAAATGACAGACTTCCCAAACTGTTCTTTAAGCATGAAGCTCTCAGCTGTGTCAAAGGCTTTCCCAGCAGCTTCTGGTTACTACCGGAGGAATGTGGAGGGACTCAGCTCTGCTAACAGCCTGTCACACAAGGTCACCTGCATGGGTATGGGTACTCCAGACTCTCAGGTGGAGCCTGGGGCTAAAGTGACAGGAGGAGGGAAAGCTCCTATCCCATCGCAAACCTGATTCTAA